ACACCACTTACCTGACACAGGCATGCTGTCAGTTCTTAGAGTGGCAGGGGTGAATGTTGGGTGGGGAGGAAACAAAAATATTTTGGAAGACCTGTTGGAGAAAAACAGTTTCTCATTGCTCAGAGATCAGGCCCTACAGGGAATACACAATCACAGGCCTATATGTTTCAGCTAAAGTTTTCTGTAGAGATGGTCACTGAAATTGCTGTCAAAATATTTACCTCTAAGATGCATCAGTTGTTGACTGAATCAGATACTCAGATGACCGCTGTGTCTAAAAACACCTTTTCCCCAGAGGTATTTTTATGTTTCCAAACCTGGTCCACCACACCTGGAAGTATTAAGCTTCCTTTTTTAGGAATCAATAAACTTAAAATTAAAAAGGGCCGGTGTAGTTTGATCTAAGGAAATTTGTCCTAATCAATTAGAGGAGTAGTTCTCAACCTTTTTAGATTCATAAAATGCCAGATCTTAATTTTTACTGTTTTTTTTTTTACTACAGAAAAAAAAAGAGAAATTGTTCCATTACAAAGCACAGAAAGACCGCAACCGGTCTAAATGTTTTTTACACTATGGATTCCTATTGGAAATCTCTGGGTTTATCTTGTGAATCATGTTTACACACCTAACAGTGCTAATATTGCCTGACACCCTGAGGCACCCTTGAGAAGATCTCAAGGCACTCCAGGGTGCTACAACACTGAATTAAGCTATGCAGCATCCTGTTGAGATGCATTTGAATAGCAACTAGTGGACACTTGCAGGAAGAGACAAAACAGCATTCAGAAGAAAGTAACTAGTTCTTGTTGACACTGCCTTTAGTGAGAATAGGCTCTGTCCTAATGTAAAGATTTGGTCTTAATGATCCATGAGGTCCTCTCCAGCCTCAACTTTTATATTCTATCTCTGGCTGTTGAACAAAAACACCTACCTCTCTTTGACTTCAATGGAAGCCATAAACCAGAGCAAAATATGGCCCAGTGATTTTTCTGGTATGTGAATCATTTGATAATCTGGGTTTTGTGACCCTTGGATATTAGGGACAAAAGAGAATATGAACAACAAATGAACCAAGTATTTTTCAAAGGCTCTTTAGAAGAACAAGCCATCTGGCTTCTCCACAGAGTAGCTGTTCGCTCTCCAGCTTATTACTATTCCCCTGCTGTGCAGCACATGCGAAATATGTCACATACCTAATAACAAATTATAAATAAACAATAGCTTATTCAAATAGAAAATGTTTTCCCAACCAAGCAAAATAAATCCTGAGAAAATGAAAAGGAATGGAATGTCAAATTCTTGTCCCATGGTGTATATGGAAAGTAGCTTTCCTATGCTATGTTGTAAAGGGGCATCAGACCCAACCAGAGAGAGAGATGTTTACCAGTGCTAGATTCAAAATGATTTAATAAATGCAGAGATGAAGGCATATACCTTTCCATTTTGATACTGCAGTGGGTCTCAGCCTTCTTAGACTCAAGGTGCCCTTTATTAGACTCAAGGCACACATAGATAATGTCATCTCTTAGCTTTCACTCATTTCTTGACTATGAAAAATAATAGAGCAAGTCTTCTGTTGTAAAGAACTCCAAAAGATCACAACAGTTTAGATTATCACTGATGCTGTGGATTTCTATTAGAAATCTCTCGGTTTATCTTGTGAATCATTTGTAGGTGTTCACATACCTAACAGTTGCACGGCACCCTTAAAAGGATATCTTTACATCTCAGGGTGCCACAGTACCCTGCTTAAGAATCACTGTCACGCAGTAATTCCCAGAGAGCTCAACCAAGATCAGACAAAGGCTGCCCCATAGAACTTACAATTTAAATTCATGAGAGAGAAAAGGGGTGTGTGGAGGGAAACAGAGGGCTAAAGCTAAGCTCTACAACAGGATAGAGATAGAGGTGGGACTAGAACTCAGTCTCCTTTATCGCAGTCCCTATTGAGATATAAATTTTCCTCCCCTCTCCACACAGTATATAATGTAAGGTAAGGTATTGTTCTTCTTTTCTCATACAAAATGAGAATGATCACACAGTGGGACTTTTTCAGTGCCTTGGCAAGTCTGTAGATTGCAGAACTAGGATTGTAAAATCCTGCAGTCTGAGGTGCTGGTTTCTTTGGGATATATAATAACCTATGAGGAGCTAACAACTCTCATTTGTGCCCACATTCTTCCAATATCACAAAGCACAGTACAGAAAAAAAATCACATTAATTCATAAAAATGGTTTAAACAAGTTTTGTCCATAATACAAGTCTGGCACACTTGTTAACAGGATTGCCTTCTAGTGACACCTCCTGGGAGTGACAGCAGCAGCACTCCCTAGGCTTGAGAAGTAACTGGCCATGTTAACATGCAGGCTGCAGGCAGTAAGCTTCCTTACAAAGTCATCCATCCACTGGTTCACGAGTCGTTAGGCCATATTAAACTGGGTACCATTACATTTCTTTTTCAGTTCCCTAAGCATCCAGAGTTTGATGCAGGTACAAATAATTTTGGGAAACACAGTTTAATTTTACTGCGAGTTTGATTTCCCAGTAGAAATTGATGCACATGCTGCAGCACTTGGGGATAAAAAGCCCTGGAGCAAAAACATTGGTATTAGTCTTTTCATACAATCTTTTTGAAAAAAAAGTAGGACTAATTTTGCCTTTTGTTTCACTGTTGCAGCCCATTCAAGTTGATATGATACATCTGTGGTTTATGCTAATGGGAGTAAGAGAAAAATTGGGCCCCTGGGAGTTGCAGAGATGTATCTAAGAGCATAATTTATTGTTCTCTCTCTCTCTCTCTCTCTCTCTGTGACTTAACATAACTGGAGAAACTGTCCAATTTCTTGTAGTCCTAATAAAAATAGGAACAAACAAAGAGACAGATTTGAAGCCATTAAGATTCATTCTGTTCTCACTTATATTTAGTATAATTGAAAAGAAACTTAAGTGAAGTCAATAGAGTATACGACTTGTATCGGACTTCTTACGTGCCCAGACTTTTTTGCTGAATGGTGCCTTTAACAATAATTCATTGGAAGTTCCCAAGAGAATTAAAAAAAGTTAACTTCCTGTGAACTTTATATGCATGACTTTCTTACCACTTTCTCAAATACCAGACTAGCCAACAATTCAGTCAAGAATTAAGCTATATTTTTTATTGGTGGAGTCTCCTAATATAGAGCTGGAGAGAAAGCCACAAACGGGATTGTTTACAAAGGAAACTGCAGTTTATTATCCAAGTCAGAGTTCAACTTGTATTTTACAGGGGAATGAATTTAAGGACCAAATGCTTCAGTCTACTCAGGCCCTATGCTGACAGAAGTGTAAAGGAGTTTGGCATGAGTAAGTGCTAAGATCTGTAGGATTTGGTCCCAGGTTGTCTAGGGGCCAAATCCTGCATATAAGGCATGCTTTCTAATGTAGAAGTAAAGGGTATTCTCATTGGAATAAATAATGTACAGTGACTCTAATTTAAGAAGCACACTTATACATTTCCTTTTACACATTGCAATGTAGTATCTTCTGTGAGTCGTGAGTCAAATGCTGCAGGCAGCCCAGTCAGGGATTCAGGCTGTATGCAACAGGAAACTGAGCTTGGAACAACAGCTCTTTTTAAATGAACTTTTGAAACTGGATCTGCATTGTGAAACATTTTGGTATTGAGCAATGGAAGAATGTGGAACATAAACATTCGCAACTGTTTCCTCCAAGCACTTAGCAGGCTTCTACAAGCAGGCTGTAGGCTGCTCTACACCCACCCTGAGATGTGTGGCAGGCAAAGATCCTGAAAAGAGGATGTCTTGCAGAGAATCCATTTACTGATGATAGTAATCAAATCACAGGTACCTTCATCCAAGCACTACTTTTGACTACAATGATGAAGTGAATGCCTCTATGTGAAAACTGGTAGTGGTCATTCTCATAAAGACACCCTAGATTTCTACCTTCTTCATTTGGATGAGGTGGCAAAGGGAACATAGATTACTGTAACCCTATGCACCTCTGATTTAGTCATAAGGTGCAAATCTACCCTGTGGCCTGCCTTCTACCCGATTAACACAGCTGCTTGCTTCTCTCTCAACCTTTTAGGCAATAATAATAGTCTTTAATTTTTTGTCTGCATTCAGGCTACAATGCAGTGTGTAGGTGTTCCGTCTTTGGATTTTGGTGTCACTGGCTATGTCCTAGAGGACCTAGAGATGTGCAAAAGGAGACCTAATTTTAAAAAGGGATTACTTTGGATATCTTTGTGAGCCACACTAGTATTTCAGATATGCAGGTGGAGGAAAGCAGGCACTTTCTTGGCTGGAATTCAGTAATGGTAGAGAGCTGCAGGCTGTCCCCTCAGACATCTATGAAATATGCTGCTGTGGCAACAAAGAGACCTAAAGAACATGAAGTAATTCTGGAGCTAAGACTCAGTCATCAGGTCAGAACAAAAGGATAAACACCACAAAAATGTGCAACAGCTTTTATCTGAGTAATGTTCATTTCCAAATTATATCTGTCAGAAGTAGCCATGATCAATTCAAGACTGACTTTGGAAGCTGAACCCTCAAAAAAGAGTGGAACATCATGCTGGTAACAAAGGGTAACTGGGCTAACAGTTGTCTCCCATTCCAGATCTAGTGTGAGAAGTCCAAAGTAATTGTGAGTTAGAGTCAGCACAACTATTTCAAGAGGCACCAAAAAAAAAAAGCAGAAGCAGTAGTGATTATAGAGTGTGCCTGTGTCAAAAGACAGCTCCATTTCTGTTCCTCTGCATTGCCATTTGGGTAGTACTGTACTTACAAACAGCCATTGAGGAAAACAGAAATGCTCCCTTTGGAGAACAAAAAAGAAGGCATGCTGTGTTTCATGTTGTTTGGACCCTTGAATATTTAGCTTATTTAATTTTTTTTCATCCATGCTATGCTTTTTATCTTTTGCCATCTATAACAGAGGACCCCCAGCTCCTGTTACTTTAAGGGCAAAGTTGCAGCAGGGAGAGCCTCAGAAGAGGAAAGATGCCCATTATGAGCTGCCAGGGAACAAGTACCTGGGGACTGACCTGCTATGAGCTATCATTATAGCAGACACCAGCAGCAGTAAGTTTCCCTGGGGTTGAGATGGCAAGCTAAATCATGTGTCACCTGTGGCAGCTCAAGAAATCACATAATCAAAATGGGATGTAGCTCCCAGCCATATAAATGCAGGTTTGAGCCAGAGCGGTCAGTTTGGTTCTGGGAGCCATGGAGGAAAGAGCTCCACAACCAGAGAGCTGCAGAGGAGCTCCTGGCTGAGACCAGTGCTACCCAGGGAGTAATGCAAGTAGAATGCTGCTGACTTGCAGGGCAATAGGACTCTGGGTAGTGGAGAGCTGAGTGATACAGCCCAGGAGCTGGAGTTTGTGTTTGAACCCAGTGGGGAAGTTGTGTTATAGCCAGAGGGCTTATCTTGGGTTAGAGTTTTACACTGTTGGTTTGGCTGGGACTAGAAAGGGCTGGCTTGGAGGTCCCATTAGTGCCCAAAAGGTATGTGACCACCTTGAGCCCTGCCAGGGTCAGGCCATTGGCATACCGACAAGGGGGCAGGGGGAGGGCCATGCCCCTGGGCGCTGTCTGGTGGGGAGTGCTGGCCAGGCCCTCCAGGGGTACTTGGCGCCCCACTGCCACTTCCAGTTTTGCCGCTGCCACTTCTGGACTCGGCAGTCGGCCACTGGGGGACCCTTGGCTTGGTGATCAGCTGCAGATGGAAGGGCGGGGCGCAAATGGAAACATTGACCCCCCAGGTGCCGGAGACCCAAGGTACGCCACTGGGTCAGGCTCAAGGCACAGATGAGGGGGGAGGAGCTGGAGCCTGAGAAGGGGCAGAGAGAGCCCAGAGATGGGCAGAACTTGGGGGCCAGAGGACTGGAGACCAAGAAGGGCAGAGACAGCCCAGAGAGGGGCAGAATTGGGGGCCAAAGGGCCTCAAGCCTAAAAAGAAGATAGATAACTGAGAAAGAGGGGAGCCAGGGAGCCCAGAGCTTGTGTGGGCCACAGATAAAGGCCCCAACAGGCAAGATAAGGGATTGGAGCCCAGAAGCCAGGTCTGGGACAGTGGGCCTTGGCTAAGGGATCAACTAGAGTAGATGGGAATCCAGGAAAGCAAAAGCCCCAATGAAGAAATAAAGGCCTAAGGTGGCCTGGTGGCTTTGGGGACAAGTGTCCTTCTGATGTAAAACACTCCCCAAGGCATGGGCATGGCTATAGGGGAGGTTCGGCCCATAAGGTAACAGGTGTCTTGAGGCATGTGCAGGTCAGGAGGGCCTACCTACCTGGAGAGATTGGTGCAATCAGCAGAGTCAGAGAGAGGGGATCCAGTGGCAGGAACTGACCAGGGCTCACTCTAAGACTTGTGGGCAGCCTCCCTTTTCCAATCTGTTAATAAGAACAGGGCATGGCAGGAGAAAACTAAAGGGAGGGTATCTTAGAAACTGAGCTGGCCACCAGGGGGCATCAGCGCACACACACACCCCTGGGACCCAGTCCTGTTACACCATCACATACAAATCACCATAATGTCCTCTTCCCTTGTGATCATTGTCTCATGCTTTTTCTCTTGACTCCTAACAGAAATATTACATGCCCAAAAGATTCCCAAAACCCACGGAGGGAATGCCACATAACAGAAGAATGAAGATTCCTTAGGGAAAGGATCTGAGTGTGTCTTTTTTTGTATCCTTTTGCATAGCAGCCAAGTGGGACATGGGTGAAACCTGGCCCCATTAAAGACAATGGAAAAATCCTTTTAACACAAGTAAGGCCAAGATTCCATTTCTAGTCTGCTTAACAACAACAATACTTGCAAAATCCTTTCTGTTTTGGAAAACACATTTCCTGACTCTTATTTTCTCCTTTTTAGGACAAAGTATCTTTCTGTTCTCAAGCATACAGCCAGTACTGTACCTAGGGAATATGTCTAGCAATTGTAGGGCCTAGCAAAAGTAGGTCTACTGGCATATATGCACTAGCTTTAACCAATAGAAGTATGGCAGCATGGACTTCAGCACGGACCTTCACCTCTAGTAGAACCCAGGCAGCCAGGGCTACTGCGATTGTTACTTCTGCTAGTACAGCTTCTTTAGCTGTGTAGACTTGCACTAAGGCAAAGACGGAACAACCTTCCAACTCCCCCTCCCCAGAATTCATACTCTTCTGCTGTACTTTTGCTACAGATTAATTTTCAATAAAACACTTAATGATTTGTTTTAGGAGTGTGCAATATTTTAAATGAACAGAGGAATACACTGGACCTGGTTCTCCAGTGCCTTGATTCTTACATCATCATTTACAACCTGGTTTAGCAAGATACCTAAGCACATTCCAATCTTTATTACTTGTAGCGCTTTGTTACTCGTAGCACTTAGGAGCCTTAGTCATGGGCCTGGCTCTTCATTTATGGTGGGCACTGTACCAATATAGAAGAAGAGAACTTACAATCTAAGTTTGAGAGACAAGAGGTAGATACAGACAAATGGGGAAATACAAGGATATAATGAGATAATGGACCAGGTTCAAGTTGCTCTCATGGGTGTCTTCTGAAGCTGGACCATTAGACGTCAAACAGCACAAATTTCATGAGGCCAGAAGGGACTCAAGGGAACCTGACTCTCTTGAGTCACAATTCCCTTGGGCAAGGGGCCTCCTGGGTTCTGGTCTCTGCTCCCAAGATTGTTTATGTATTTTGCATTACAGTCATCACTGCCAAATTAATTTTATTTTTTTTAAACAAGTATTTATGGGGATCTCTTCCCCAGCACAAGGGACAGCACTAAAGCACTGCTTTTAAAATCTAACATGGGGGGTGGTATGACGGAGAAAGCACGAGCCTGAGGTCAGTGTAATTATCCATGTGCTTCAGGTGAGATATATGCTTAAAAGCTTTGATATGCCTGTGAAAAGTGGCAGTAAAATGTTGGTATTTCAATCTGCTAGTATTTTGGAACCACTTCTTTTTGCCCTTAATTACATAAATATTAGTTCTCGCATCATCTTCAGTACCCCTACTTTTGCTTACCAAGGGCTTGATTTTGCAAGGTCCAAGCACTGGCACCCTGAGCCAGGTAAGCTCTTCACCATTTCTTTATCTTTAAACATGTGAATAGTCCCATTAACCTCAAGGTTTTTCTGTGATATGTTTCTCCAGGATTTACTGCTATCTCTGATTTTATTTTTTTCTCTTGCCTTATTTGTTTTTATTCTCCTTTTCTGCCTTCTGTCTTCTAAACCTTTCGTTTTTAAGCTAATAATACATGTAGTTTTAAGTATTAATGTCTTTTGCTTTCTCCAAATTTAAGTTTGCATTGCACTCACATACCTTTTAGACAGCGAAATAGCATGCAATAATTAACCAACATTACTGTTATCATCTCCTTTCTTATTAAGAGAAGATGGATCTCTGTTTCATAAACCTATATCACCATTATGGTACTCCAGAACATAGTCATTAAGAAGAATGATACAGACAATTAAAGACTTTTATTTTTTTCTATTCATGGTTAAGCATGTGACTGAATGAAACACGTGAGTTACTGATTCAATTTTGTGCTGAGGTTTTGAAGGTGATTGCCTGTTTTGATATACAGATCTTCTGTTGTGAGAAAATTTCGGTTACAGCACAATAAATGTGCACATGTAGACATGCCCTATTAATATTACTGCACAGTATGGGCACGTGTCTACATGTGCACACTCCTACTGCATAGTAAATATGGCAAATTACTTCGATTTGAGCGTGAATTTGATACCTGCATCATGAAGATATCAAATTTACACCCAATTAGTTATTGCGCAGTGACGCATGTATAGACATGTTACTGCAAAGTAACCCAGGGAGCTTCCCTGCTGGGTCCTCCCAGCCACTAGGGGTCTGGCCTGAGCCCAGCTTCAGGGCTTCTCACTGGCTGCCTCTCCTGGCTTCAGTTTGGGATGAAAGTTAGTCCCAAGTGCTGGTAGCTGGCTCTGGCTTCAATTTGGGACTAACATTAATCCCAAGGGCTCTATCTGGTGGTCACAGGGGCAGGTTGCCTGCATGTGTAGACACCAGCCTATTCCTGCTTAATGTGTGGTAACTTTTACTGCACAATAAATTTAAGCTAGTGTAAATGCATGTGTAGACATGCCCATATAGTCATCTTCTTGTCTATGTCAGAGATGAATAATTTCTGTATATGTAATAGACCTGCTATATTTCATACTTGAAAACAAATTTAACAGATACATTGCCTAAGAAGTGGGAGGGGTTTTTTTTTCAATCTCTTGATCATTTTATTTGAATCATTGACTTCAAGCCAGGAGAGTTTCTTCCTTGGAATTCAATTTGCTTAAAAACTGGATAATTAGAAGAATATACTGCCTGAAAACAAGTTACTGCACTGTGTTCTCTTGTCAGACATTGGAACAGTCATACCAAAACAGACTAATGGACCCTGTTTAGTATGTTATCCTAGCTCTCACTAGCATCAGCTGCTTTAAAACATGACATAGAACTTTAATAATACACCTTGCTTCTCTAGGCTGTTTTTGGGTCCTCTTGCAGGCAAAGATTTTTTTCCCATTTCATTTCAGAATTAGCTTATTTCCTGGAGAAGACCTGAAAAAAATTGATTATGATGAAAAAGACCAGAGACATTGTATGTACACTTTTCATAAAGATGCTGGAATCTCAGAAAATAGGAGTATCTGCTATAGGGTTTCATTCTCAGAGGTGCAAGTTCAGGGATGCTGGAGCCTGAAAGCATCTCTCTCCTAACTAGACAGTTTGGTCCAATAAGAGATATTACCTCACCTCACAAATCTTGTTTGTCTCTGTAGCAGGGCACTAAGGTGCCTGCTACTTGGAGAGCAGTGATAACTACCCAGGTGCAGGTTGCTAGGGTAACCAGAGGGAGCTAGTGACCCACACCTGCCAGCAGTCAGCTGACCAGAAGGGGCAGGGCCCGGCTCCCATGTAAGTTTCAGGCCAGAGACCCGGAGGGAGTTGCCTGCCAGCAGCCAAGGGGGAAGGAGCTCTCCCAGAGCAAGCAGAGGGGAGAGGCCAGACTATAGAGACAGGGGAGCAGGCAGTCCAGGGCTCTCTGCTCCCCCATCTTGAGGCACACTGCACCCCAGCCAGCCAGGCAGAGGTGGGCTGGGGTGCAGGGTGCCTCAGCGCTGGGTGGGGAGGGCAGCAGTGGATGAAGATAGGGGACCAGGCAGCCCAGGGCTGCCTGCTCCCCTGTCTCCACATGGTGCTACATGGCTGGCTGGGGCACAGAGGCACCCTGTGCCCCAGCCAGCTCTCCCTGCAGGACATGGAGCAGCAGGACAATGGGCAGGGGTGTGCCGTACAGTCCACTACTATTTGTGCTGCTGCAAAGGCATGCCCTTGCTTGTGTGGACCCAGCCTGCAAGTGGTCCTAGGCAGGTGATGTGATAAATGAACATTTGAGTATTTTATAGCTTTTCTTGAGAACATAGAACTAGACTGTAGACAATGATAGCAGTCCCCTGCTGTAACGGGCGCTATATCATATAACACCTGTCATAAACTGACCCAGAACTATCTAGAGCTTTTTGCACCCACTATTCCAACTGAAAAGCGGACAATAAACCACGCTGGAGAGACAGACTCTGAGGATCAACAGTGGGTGGGCTTGAACTACAGTTATATTGGCTAAGGACCAGATGTACTGACCCACTACACCAAAGAGACCCCAGTGTTAGCGCAATTCCATTTCCATGGATATTCCATAGAATTTTTTTCCCTTTAGGTAGGTCTTCTAAGATTTGGGTTCCAGGTATGGATTTTCTGTCATTATGTTTTATGTGGAAGCACCAACAAGCAGATAAATTTCTACAATTATGTCACTGTGTACTTGATCCATGGGCAGGCTATATTTGGGTAAAGGCACAAAATAGGTATGCTTCTACTCACAAACTTCTATGATTTACTCTGTCAGAGTGTAAACATGCATACAGTCATCATAGATCTAAATGTGTGGCTTACAGTTTCCCCAGTGGCATGGTGCCTAGGAATTTCATGCAGGTCTACTAAAATATTGTATTCTCTAAAATTGGTTTTAGGGCCATGACTGTAGACTTGCCCTCATGTTGGAGAACTAGAACTATGAGAGACAACATTTTGTAAGTCATAGTTACATCCTTTTCTTTTGTGAAAGTAATAATCATGGAAAAGTTACTAACATGATCCAAAATAAACCACTTACCAAGGCTAACAGGAACTTCTGAGTCAGCTTTTGCAGTTGAAAGCTACAGAAACCCAGAATCGCAGGGACCTCAAAGTTCTTTTAGTCAGCTTCCCTGCACAAATGGAGAATGTGTTGTTTCTGTCCAGCTTCTCTCTAAAAAATACTGCATTGACAGAGGTTTTTCAGGCTTGTTCTATTGTCCAAGTGCTCTTACAGTTAGAAAGTTCATCTTGAGATTTAAAATCAAATTACCATTCTTAAAACTTCAAGGAGTTTTAGTTTGCTGCCCCTACAGCCACAGAGCGAAGCACTGGGCTCCGGGCAGCAAGCCCATGCAGGCAGCCTGGCAGCAGCCGGGAAGGCAGGCTCTGCCCAAGAAAAGCGGCAAGCCTGATCTCCCCCCACCCCCTGTGGAGCCTGCCTGCCTGCCTGAGCTGTGTGGGGGCCTGGTGCTTCCCTCCACAGCTGCCGTGCTCCCTGGGACCACCTGAGCTGGGTGCCTGTGAGCGGATGTTGCCTGGGAGGGGGGTCACCGCTGCTGTGGAGGGAAGCACTAGCCCCCACCCCTCCCAGCCCAGGGACTGCTCCACCTGCCAGCAGCTTGCCTTCCCCTCCCCACTGGAGAGGCAGGTAAGTCAGTGGGGTGTGTGCACGACACAGGGGTTTAATTAGCCCTAAATTGAAGCGGTATTTTTTAAAACCCACTGCTTCAGTTTAGGGCCCCCGTTTCATCTATACATGCCCACTGAGAGCAGCCTAGCTCCATTCTGCAGGTAGCTGAAGGGTGCTATTAAGTCCCATCTCAGTCTTTTCTTTGCAGTAGTAAGGGTTAACTCCCTTACTGAAGAGTGATGTCATACACAGAAAGTGGTCAGCTGACCATTTTGGATTCAGGGATTGACTGGTACAATAAAGACTTAATGAGAACAAGGAGTCTCTCTGCCTCTTCCTAAGATCCAGAATAACACATCGTGTCAGCAGTGGCTGAATCCTGCCACCAACAGAAAACTGAACAGGTGATTCTCAAATGATGGGTTGGACTCTAGCAGCGGTGGAATCCAGTGCAGAGCAGAGATGGGGGATGGCTCTACCTGCAGCAAAACCCAGTGTAGCACTGAGGCCAGCTACAGAGACCATGCAGGCGCTCAAAGTTGCACCACCAGAACAGTTTGATTTCCAATCCCCTGGAATGTGGCCTTAATGAATCAGGCGTTTTAATTACTTCAGGGACAAACAATCAGAAGCTTACAAAGTGAGTACTCTTTTCCAGGAATGACTCGTGCCTCCTGAGGCTGGGGGGGGCATGGCGACCACCCGCAGGTAGCGGTGGCGGTGTCGGCAGCAGAGGTGTGATGGTGGCAAGGGGGGACCGCCTGCAGGCAGCTATGGTGACATCATGGTGGAGGTGGGCTGAGCAGGGACTTCCCACAGGTAGCCACAGTGGTGTCGGTGGCAGGGGGGTGGTGAGCGGTGACCGCTCGCAGATGGCGCAGCAGTGTCGCCAGCAGCCAAGCTCAGGGCAGGGGGGGCGGGCATGTGCCTCCCCCATGCCTGCCCTACGCATCACCCATGCTCTTTTCTACTTTATGGGAGATCAAGTGGATGAAATTGTGCTGTCATTGCCTCTTACAAATGAAGTTAAAAAGCAATAAGCTGCAGTGATAGAAGCATTAACTGATCATTTTCTGGGCAAAAGAAATGTGATTTAAGAATGAGCTAGATTCAAGCTCTGTAAACAGGAGCCTTCAAAACCTGTGGCCAGATTCATCACATCTTTGTATACATTGGCTGAATCCTGCCGATTATGGGGAGTTTCAGGAGGAGCTAATTAGGGACTACTTAGTCATAGGGCTCTCACAAAGATTACAGTTGGACCCCGATTTAACACTCCAGAAGACTATCACACGGGCTTGCCAATCAGAGCTAGTTAAACAGCAGCAAAGAGAAATCAGGAGTGATTTGCACTCCTCTCAGGCATTAATTAATATGGATGCAATGCACACTGTAAAGAAACTACAAACAAATACCAGGCACAGTGAACACAGGGAGGGGTACCACCAGCACCCACAGCATCAAACTAGTGGAAAAGGAGACCGATGCCACAGGTGTGGTCAAACCCTAGGACATAGTTGTGCTCAGTGTCCTGCTACAGAAGAGATATGTTGGCAATGTAAAAAGAGCAGTCACTATGCTTCAATTTGTTGCTCCACCACTAGAGTCTTTGAAGTCACAGAACAGGATGCAGAGGATTGCATAGTACTTTTAGATGAAGTTACAGAGTCTTCATCAGATCTAGGAGTCTGGATGACAGAAATTGAGCTCAATGGATAGCCAGTGCCATTTAAAATAGATACAGGAGCAGCAGTCTCAGCTATCCCCAATTCTTACTACAGCCCACATAGGGATGGGATTCTCCTTACCCCTACTAAACAGCTACAGGGACCAGGCAACACTACACTCAAAGTACTGGGAACCTTTAACGCAAAGATAACTCTGAAGCGGAGATTTATAGACCAGGAAGTCTATGTGATAGGTAGTCTTGCTGTGCCTTTACTTGGTTTACTGGCCATACAGACACTGCAACTTGTCCATTGACTAGATGAAATAGTGTACCAGAAATCCTTGGCACAGTACTACAGAACCAAATACCTATCTGTCTTTTCTGGTCTTGGAAAAATGTTAGGTGAATATCAGATACGCCTAGCAGCTGATGCCATTTCATATGCATTAACTACTCCAAGACGGGTACCTTTGCTACTAATGGACAAAGTTAAAGAAGAGTGAACACGCATAGAAGAAATTGGAGTAATTACAAGGACTGAAGAAAAACTATGTCCTGGGGTTTGACCACACCTGTGGCATTGGTCTCCTTTTCCACTTGTTTGTTGCTGTGGGTGCTGGTGGGACCACTCCCTGTGTTCATTGTGCCTGTCAATCCTTAGTGTACTGGGATGGTGGTTGTGCCAAAACCCAATGGTAAGATTAGGATATGTGTTGATCTCATACAGCTGAACCAATACATGTGCAGAGAAAGACACATTCTTCCTTCCATGGAAGATACCTTGGGCCAACTTGCAGGAGCCAAAGTTTTCACAAAATTGAATGCTTGGGCAGGGTATTGGCAGATTCCTCTAGTTGTTGAATTGTCCAAGCTAACAACTTATGTTACTCCATTTGGATGCTACTGATTTACTAAAGAGTGCTGTCATACATAGGAAGTGGTCAATCAACCATTTTGGGTTCAGGGGTTGATTGTTACAATAAAGGCTTAATGAGAACAAGGGGCATTTATACACATCCTTTTTCATGCTGCGATGTGCCAGAGATCCGGCGCATTGGAGCAGATTCTATTAATTGAGTCTGCTCTGCACATGAGCTGATGTGCACTGCGCTGCATTGCTTGCAATTGTGTAAGTGGCAAAACGCGCCTCAGTGGAGAGAAAATGGTGGCAGTGTACTTTTGAACTAAAACATCTTTGTGTTTTAGCTCAACAGCGGACCATTGCCATTTTCTGCATGCTGATGCACATTTCGCTGCTTATACAACTGTATGTATTGCAGTGCTTGGTACTTTTCAAAGCACTTGGCGCTGTGGTACATAAATGTATAAAATGCCCAAGAAGTCTCCCTGCCTCTTCCTAAGATCCAGAATAACACATTCTTCTGCAGACCACATAAGCCCAGTTGCCTTAGCCTTTCCTCATAAGTCATGTGCTCCAGGTCTGTAACCATTTTCGTTGCCCTCTACTGGACACTCTTCAATTTGTCCACATCCTTTCTGTAGTGGGGGGCCCAAAACTGGACCTAATACTCCAGATATGGCTTCACCAGTGCCAAATATAGGGGACTAATCACTTCCCTCGATCTGTGGGCAATGCAGCCCAGTATACCATTTGCCGTTTGCCACTGGGTCATATTCAATTTCATGTCCACTATAACCTGCAAGTCCTTTTCTGCAGAACTACTGCTTAGCCAGTCTGTCCACAGTCTGTATCAGTGCATGGGATTCTTCCATTCTAAGTGCAGGACTTTGTATTTGTCATTATTGAACCTCAAGAGATTTCTTTTGGCCCACTCCTCCAATTGGTCTAGGTCTCTCTGAATCCTAACCCTACCCTTCAGCATATCTACTACTCCCCACAGCTTGGTGTCATCTGCAAATTTGCTGAGGGTGCACTCTATCCCATCTTCCAGGTCACCGATGAAGATATGGAACAAAGCTGACCCCTGGGGCACACCACTTAATACCAGCTGCCAACTAGATATTGAGTCATTGACTACTACCCCGTGAGCCCATTGATCCAGCCAGTTTTCTATCCTCTTTACAGTCCATTCATCCAACCCATACTTCCTTAGTTTGCTTGCAAGATTATTGTGGGTGACCATATCAAAAGCCTTGCTAAAATTAAAGTATATCACATCCACTGATCTCCTGCATCCATAGAGCCAATCATCTCATCATAGAAGCCAATCAGTTTGGTCAGGCATAACTTGTCCTTGGTGAATCCATGCTGACTGTTCCTAATCACCTTCTTTTCCTCCAAGTGTTTAGAAATGGATTCCTTGAGGACCTGCTCCATGATTTTTCTGGGGGCTGAGGTGAGGCTGACCAGTCTCTAGTTCCCTAGATCCTCCTTCTTCCCTTCCTTAAGTATGGACACTGTATTTGCCCTTTTCCAATGGTCCAGGACCTCTCCCAATTGCCATGAGTTTTCAAAGAAGATGGCCAGTGGCTCTGCAATCATATTGGTGAACTCCCTCAGCACCTGTCCAGCCCCATGGACTTGTATGTCCAGCTTTTCAAAATAGTCCCATACCTGTTCTTTTGCCACTGTTGGCTGCTCACCTCCTCCCCAAACTGTGCTCTAGGTGTTGACTTTGCCTGGGAAGACTGAGGTGAAAAAGGCTTTGAGTACTTCAGACTT